CCCCACTCCCCCAGTGCCTTTCCTGGGAATATGGGGAGGAGATGAAGGATGGTTTTGGGGTACCCAGGAAGGGGCGGTCACCCCCCAGCCCTGTTTTTCTCTTGTGCTTGGCACTAACAGACGGAGCCCACGCCGGTGGGGAGCCGCGGGCTGGCAGAGGGCTGGGGGGGTTCTCTGGGGAGCCTGGGGGCCACCCCACATGTCTCGGCTCTAATCCGAAATGCTGGGAAAACAACAGTGGCTTAAGAGCTCCTTTTAGAAACAAGAATCAAGTGGCCTGAGCCTGTTCCTTGTAATCCCTCGCAATCTCATTTCACCTCCCGCGGCTGCTGGGCTTATGCAACTGGCTGGGATGGCAGCACCCGCGGGTCCCCCTGCGCCCCAGGGACCCCTCGGGGCTGCAGCCACCCTGCACCCATACTCCCAGGCACAGACACCCTGCTTCTGCCCCGGGCCAGCCTGCGGGGCTGCTCCCCGTGGGGTGCAGGTTAAGGCCGTGCGAGGAGGTGGCCCCAGAAGCGAGGTGGGGATGTCACCTTTTGGGGCTGGGATTTCAGGAAAGGGGTTTCAAGCCTTGCCAGAATAGGTACTTGCCCTCCTGCCAGACACATGTGCTGCCTAAACATCTGCACTGGGGGACGTGAGGTGCCCCCAAAACCCTAAAGGTCCCCTTTTTACCCTGGTCTATGAACCATCACCCCTCGCAGAGCAGGGACACGCCGGGGAACTGCCCGGCTGAGCCCGAGGGAGAGTCTGTGTCCATGAGCGGCTGTGCCGTGTCCTCCATGTGGTGCTTCTCCCTGGCTTTCTCCCCTGGAGGGTTTTGCCCTGACCCTCTGGTCCCAGGGACAGCAATGGAAATGCCCAATTAAAACCCAATTAAGAAATGTTTCTAAATTAGAAAATACGCAAGGTGTGGGGAGCCCATTGTTGAGGGTGTCACCCTGCCAGCCTCAGCCTTGGGTCCCTTCCCCTGTGGGGGTGACCCCAAGGGTGCCGGTCCCCCGGTAAGGCTCAATTTGGGTTTATATGGGGCAGTTTGGGGCTTAAATTTGTCCCTTTTTTAGAATAAGGCTTGAGGGAGGTATGCAGAGGGGACTGCACCCAGACCTAGAAACTCCTGCTTTTGGGTGATGCTGAGTTTGGGCAAAACACCCCATCTGCCCAGCCCCCATCTGCCCAGCCCCCACCCCTGCTGGCGATTTGCACGGGTACGAGCTGCTTGGGGCCCGCCCGGG